TATATATATATATATATATATATATATATATATATATATATATATATTTATACAGGGAAGTAGTGGCGCAGAGGTTAAAGAAGGTGGGCCTGTGATCGGAAGATCGCCGGTTTAAGCCCCGGTACTGACAGCATCAAAAATGTGGGTGGGGTAGGTGTAGCACCCACACCTGCCCCCACCCTCATCCGTCCCACTCTGGGCCCTTGAGCAAGGCCCTTAACCCCCTACCATCTGCTCCTCTGGGTGTCCTAGATAGAAGCTCTCTGCTCCACACAGAGGGCTGTGGTAGCTCGGTGGTCCGTGGTTGAGTCAGGAAGGGCATCCGGCGTAAAAATAACTGACAAGTCTTCGTGTGACTTAGTTTGCTGTGGCGACCCCTGAAGAAGGGAGCAGCCGAAAGAGAAAAAAAAAAAGGAAAAAATAAATAAATATATGTATATATATCTCACAACTGTTCTAATTCTGGGTTTTGTACCTTAGTGACAGTTCAGTTCATCTGAAGTGAGGTTTTGTGGAAAGTTATGAACAATTTATAACTTTAGTTTGACTTCGGTTATCAATCCACTTTGGGCTCTGACTGTTTGGACTAGCCACTAGAACAGGGGTCTGCAATCTTACGCTCTGGGGCCACATGTGGCTCTTTAGTCCCTCAACAGTGGCTCTTTGAAGCTTTGATAAAACATAATGAAATCTAATTGTATAGATTTTTATACCCACAACAGAAAAGACTAGTTTTGGCAATTTTATTGAAAAATTTCTGTAAATTTTTGACCGATAATTACTAGTAAGATAAAAACTTTATTGATCCTGCAGGAAATTGTTGAAGTAGTAAATAACAGTTTTTTTCAGCTATTCCATTCTTCACATGTCACCACTCGCAAGAAAGATTTGGCATTTTGTTTTATGCCAGATGCCCTTCCTGATGCAACCTGGGCTTGAACCTGCAACCTCAGGATTCAAAGACCGCAGTGCTAGCCACCGATTTACCGCAGCTCCACCCGATGCTTAGTTATTATTCCACACATAGGCCTATTAAAACTAAACAGCCACTGGCCAAAAGGATGGCCCTGCAGAGAAGAGCAACAACATCAGGCCAGGACTCTGCGGTCTACACTCATCTCCAGGCCAGCGGTCACTCGTTCAAGGATGAAGATGTTCACATCCTGGATAGAGAGGAACGATGGTTTGAGAGAGGAGTAAAGGAGGCCATCTTTGTGAAAAGAAATTGTCCATCATTAAAGAGGGGTGGAGGCCTCCGGGTTCAACTGTCCCCCTCTTACAATGCTGTGATTGCTAGTATCACTCAACCCTCTGTGAATAGTAAACAGCCATCAGTGTGCTTATGATCCATCATATGGGGGCCGAGATGGTGTAGAGGCAGGGCAGCCGGCTTGGGACCCGAAAGTCCCAGGTTCGATCCCCAGTCACTGCAAATCACGTGGCGTCTCTGGGCAGCACGTCTCATCCCCAAAATGCCCCCCGGGCGCTTTCAATAGCTGCCCACTACACCACCTGGTGGTGGATGGGTTAAATGCAGAGACTAATTTCACCATTGTATGGAAACATACAGTGCTGACATTGTGATGACATTATTATTATTATTAGGCTGATGGTCTTTCTTGATCATGTGATCAGCTGGTTTTGGTTGTCAGCAGCAAAACTGGTTGATCCACTCTGAGAAGGTGCTATTTAAGAGACTGAGCTGAATACAGCACCTCAGACTGAGGAAGTTTTTTGGATGAAAGATGAAACGTTTCTACATTTTTTTGTTGTTTTGCCAGATTTAACTTTTTTAGATTTTTCTACCTGGATTATTGAGCATGCATCAGGATACATAGGCCTACTGTTTTAATTTTTATCAAAATCGTTAAACTATAATTATTTTCCTTCTTTACATTATATGGTCTTTTTTGTCTTAAAATGTAAAAATATCAATAAATGTAAAAATTCATGATATAATTTTAGTTTTATAATGTCACCTCCACTGGCCAGAAAAGCCCTGCTCCAACAAACTCAGTGGCCCATGGGCCATCAGTTGATAATTACAGTTGTAGCAGGTTTTGTGGCTCCAGACACATTTTATTTAGTGAGCGAAGGGGCAGAAATGGCTCTTTTGATCAAAAGGTTGCAGACCTCTGCACTAGGCCTTCAATCAGGTTGGAAATAAACACTGTTTCTCTAAACTGAGTCTATTCAAAGACCTACTTACAACATGGAAGATATTATCTGATCATAATTTTTCAGAGAATCTCACTTCAATAGGTCTGAACTGTGACTAACAAGAATGTAGTGGAGGAAGTGACATTTTCCAGATATTTCTGATCTGTATCTAATAAATCCATAAGACTTTAGGTATTTTCGGACTTTACCTTCAATAGTACCTCTGATTTATTGGAGAAATTATCCTGCAAGCATTCTGACTACAAATCGTACCCAGAGCATTTCTATAGCATTCTTGTACTTCAGGACTAAAATATTGTATGAAACATGTTCCACGGCACATATTTATATCTGAAATAACCTGCCGCGAGTCACTGGGCCAGGCTCCTTTAGTTTGCAGCTGAGTAATATTCTTCATTTAATGGTGTTTAAACCTTGATCTTTATGCACTGAACCACTTACTCAGCAGTAAGCCATTCTGTGTTAAACACAAGGACTTCCTTGGCTCTTCAGCTGTGTAACAGTATATTCCTCTTATGCCAAAAGTGGACTGAGGAAGTGGAATACTTCTGACGTGTTGCCTCATATCTTCTGGTTTAATAATTTTTTTTAAATCTGAGATCATCCGTGCTGACTTACAGCTTCCAAACTTCAGAGGACAGGCGTGTGCATCCATTGGGAAATCCTCCAGGTGCATGGGGCACTCTGCATGAATGGTCAACCTGAAGGGCAGAAACAGAGAGAATTGAAGGCCTGGCATGCTGCAGTCTGAATGTGGCGAGCCTTATAAAACATATGTGTCTCCAAAAACATCCCAGAGTGACCTTCCTTACACTATAATCTATAGTCAGGCACAAAAATCTCTGCCGATGTCTCAATTAGACGTTTCAGATTTATCAGCTCTTAACTGAGACTAACAAGAAGCCCTGGAGTTTATTTTGTCTGTCCAGATCATGGCCAGACTTCAAAATGTTCCCTAAATAAATGGAGAAATATGGCTCACATTACCTCACTCATAAATATTTGATCAAAGATCAAGTTCAAACAAGACAGAAAGCCATAAAAGCCATCCTTCAGTGGACTGAAATCCACCATAAATGGAGCAAGAATTGGGTTATTCTAACTCAATTACAACATTTATAGCCGATGCATTAACTCAGTATTGGGTTATTTGAAAACAACAGGACTGTAAAATAACAACTGAGTAAGTAAAATAAGTTTGTTTCAATGAGATTCTCATTTCTGTAGAATGTAGACCTAACTGAAAATGCTGCAAATCAAATACAGTCTTTCTTGTTTGTATAAAATATTGTATTTATTGCATGTCTAACTTGCTTTTTTATGTAACGTGAGTTTTGAAATGCTGCTAAGAGCCCAATAAATCAAGTAACAAGTAGATTAATATAGTATTTCTTACATTGCCAAGTTTATTTGAGTCTTGCGCAAAATAACGTGCAACATCCCGGCGTGCTTCTGAATGCAAACTTAATGTTTCTAATTAGCTTCTCGTAGCCTTTACAACAACCCTGTGCTGGTTGTTTCTCTCTCCCCACTCTCTCGGCTGCTTTCTGGTGCTGTCTCATTACTGATAAGTGGCTCAATAACTACGTAAATTAACACAATACAACATAAATCAAACGCGAGCCTTGCACCGATGCGTATCACACAGCACTTACACCAGCAACTAATTGATGTCGTTCGTCTATTGCTAAACTGTACACAAAGAAATAAAGGCAAGGGGAAAAAAGATCACAGATTAACTTTGATTACAAACAAAAGGAGGGAGCTGCCTTTGCGGAGTCAAACTTCAGTGAGGCCGTTTAGATCACAGATCACCTTAGGCAGAAATCATCAGCATGCAGCAACCCATCACGATATTAGTTGATAATTTTTTAAGCATTTAACCAGATGCTCAGATCTTTTGACAAGTAGTTCTGTAACAGTTTTCTGAGTCGAGCTCGCATGCAAACCACAATCACTCCCCTCCTTCTGGAAGGTCGTTAGGGTCTTTGTTGGCCTGGCTGCCAAGCAGGTGGCTTTGATCACATATGCAAAGTTGTAAAGTGGTGTGAAACCGGTCATGGACTTAATACCAAACTGACATGTGAATGCTGGAATTGTGGAACCAGAAAAACCTTGTATTGTTTGTTAAGTATTTTAAAAACACACAAGGTAAGAAAACAAACTAGAAAGTTCCTGGAGAAACTTTAGACGGGGACTGTCACATTGTGGCCATTTAATTTTTTTGATTTGACAGTACTGTGTGTACTCAGCTCCAAGTAGATTCTGGTAGACTATCAGACAGCTGAGGAGGGAAAGCAGCTCTTTACTAACACTGTGTTCAGTGAAGGTGGGGTGCTGTTGACCACAAGCATTGATGTCATCGGGAGGTGGAGGGAATACTTCTCGGACCTTCTCAATCCCACCGGCACGTCTTTTATGGAGGAAGTTGAGTCTGGGGACTTTGGGGTTGGTCTGCCCATAACTGTGGCTGAGGTTGTTGAGGTAGTTAAAAAGCTCTGAAGTGGCAGGGCTCTGGGGGTGGATGAGATTCACCCTGATTTCCTTAAGGCTCTGGATGTTGTGGGGCTGTCTTGGTTGACATGCCTTTGCAACATCGTGTGGACATGGGGGCAGTAACACTGGATTGGTAGACTGAATTGGTGGTTCCCCTCTTCCAAAAGTGGGATCAGAGGGTGTGCTCCAATTATAGGGGCATCACTCTCCTTAGCCTCCCTGTTAAGGTCTATTCAGGGGTACTGGAGAAGCAAGTCAGATCGTTGGTCGAACCTCAGATCCAGGAGGAACAATGTGGGTTCCGTCCTGGCTGTGGAACACTAGACCAGTTCTTTACCCTCACTAGGGTCTTTGAGGGGTCATGGGAGTTTGCCCAGCCAGTCTACATGTGTTTTGTGTACTTGGAGAAGGCAATCAGCTGTGTTCCTTGGGGTACACTGTGGAGTGTGCTCCATGAGTATGGGATTGGGGTCCCATTGTTATGGGCTGTTCAGTCCCTATACAAGTGGTGTGAGAGTTTGGTTAGCATTGTTGGTAGTAAGTTGGACTCCTTCAGGATTCCCCGTTGTCACCGATTCTGTTCATAACTTTTATGGACAGAATTTCTCAGTGCAGCCAGGGGGCAGAGGGATTCCAGTTCAGTGGCTTTCCATCTCTGCTCTTTGATGATATGGTCCTGTTGACGTCATCGTGCTGTGATCTTCAGCTCTCACTGGAGTGGTTCGCAGCAGAGTGTGAAGCGGCTGGGATGAGAATCAGCACCTCCAAATCTGAGGCCATGGTCCTCAATCAGAAATGGGTGGCTTGCGCCCTTCAGGTCGAGGGCGAGGTTCTGCCTTAAGTGGAGGAGTTCAAGTATCTTGGGGTTTTGTTCATGAGTGAGGGAGGATTGGAGCATGAGATTGGCAGATGGATTGGTGCAGCATCTGCAGTATTGCAGATTCTGTACTGGTCTGTTGTGTTTAACAGAGAGCTGAACTGTAAGGCAAAGCTCTCCGTTTACCTGTCGGTCTATGTTCCTACCCTCACCTATGGTCATGAGTGCTGGGTAGTTACCGAAAGAACAAGATTGCAGATACAGGCAGTTAAAATAAGCTTCCTCTGCAGGGTAGTTGGGCTCTCTCTTAGAGATAGGGTGAGAAGTTCAGTTATCTGAGAGAGACTCGGAGTAGAACCGCTGCTCCTCCACATCGAGGGGAGCCAGTTGAGGTGGTTCGAGCATCTGGTAAGGATGCCCCCATGGTGCCTCCCTAGGGAGGAGCTTTAGGCATGTCCGACTAGGAGGAGACACTGGGGAAGACCCAGGACACACTGGAGAGACTATGTCTCTCGTTTGGCCTGGGAACACCTTGGGGCCCTCCCAGAAGAGCTGGAAGAGGTGGCTGTGGAAAGAGATGTCTAGACCTCCCTGCTCAAGCTGCTGCCCCTATGACCCAACTTCGGAACAAGTGGAAGATAATGGATGGATGGATGGCGTAATGTGTGTGGAGTAATGTGTGTTCGATTTCGCTCTCAGCTACTACCATACATAATTTCAGCTTAATATAGCAATAAATCAATGACTTATGGTCATTATTTATTTTACGATATGGTAACCATCTTGGATTTTTGATTTGCAATGAGAGCCTATTAAGGTTTGCTCTCAGCTACCAATATGCCAAATTTCAGCTAAATAGCTCTAAAAAACGCTGAGTTATAACCATTTGAAATTTGCTTTGGCAGCGATCTTGAATTTTTAGATTTGAATTCAGAATGTGTTTTGCATTGCTGTCAGATACCACCACAGCAAATTTCAGCTCAGTATATTTTAAAATAGCTGAGTTATTGTATTTTTCCCTTTTAGCTAAGGCAGCCATCTTGGATATTTAATTTGCATCAGGAATGTATAACAACTCACTCTCAGCTATGGCCAAACCAAATTTCAGCTCAATATCTCAAAGAATAACTGAGTTATGGTCAATGTTAAGTTGTCCGTGTTAGCTGAGGCAGCCATCTTGAACCAAAATGGTTCCAAAAGTTAATCAGTGTTTTGTTCAGGGACCTCTCCACTCTAGGTCATGTGACCTCGTAGTTTGAGGCTGTTGAGTTCTGTCAGTGTTTATCAATGAGTAAAAAAGGCATCTTTCTTAATTACGTCGCCAATGTAACTCAAAATGCCACTAAATAAATAAGCGCATACATCACAGTGCTGAGCTGGTCGTTTTGATGTAAAATTTGTGGGGGTACACATTAGGGTTCGGGTTGCATTAAAGTTGAAGGAAGAGTAAGACTCTTTTCAGGTGGATAATATAGGTAGATGCCGCTGCCTTCAGGCAGTCCCCAATTATTAAAACAAGAACAAGAATGATGTTTTTGGTTGTCAAGACAAATCTGGGAAGATTAACAAGTTAACAATCGCACAGTAACTCCATAACTACAACTGCTATAACTTTTAGTTAACCTGTTATAGGTTTTAGCAACTATTTAGCTATGTTTAGCTAGCCTTCGCATCTTTTTCATTTTAACTAACCCTTTGACATAGTTACATATTTGCTAGCCATTTGCTAATTATAACTTTTAGCTAGCCTTTTAGTTGCTTGTAGCTACCATTTTGGGTCATTTCGATGCATCATGATTAAAGTTTCAGCTATTGTTTTGCTGCTTTTAGTTTTAACAACTTGTTTCAGCTTTTCAACAATCTGCATTCACACTGCATTTGGGAAGAAAAAAACATTTTTCTAGATTTTGTAGTTTGCTTCATTAAGATTTTATAAACCAAGCATTCATGAAGTATTTACTAAAAGCTGCATTGAACTTGATATTTCTTGCTACATGCTTTATGCAGTGGAGTTTTCAATTGTACATGTACTGAAACATCATGCAGCTGCATTTGTTTTAAAATTTGGTTTAGCAAATTATTATTATTCTTTCTGCAAAATGTTTTAAAAGAGAACGCTATAAAGTTTTTTTTTTTTTTAATCCAAGGACCATACGGTGTCGTTATATTCTACAGAGGAAACAGCTGTTGGTAGAAACCAGAGGTAAACTGACAGTGAGTGATAAATGCTCTGACAAAAATAGGACTGCAGCAGCTCTGGCAGACAATAGCAGCTCCCTGCTTTCAAAATAATGATGCAATCCGGCAATGCTTGGGCCGTCACGGCGTTTGTCAGTTCAGATGCTGCAGACGTGCTGATTAACTGGATTTAAGCTGTTTTCTAGTGAG